AAGTCCACATTTTATAAATCACTAAACAAAAAACTTTAGAAATTATGATCAAGATGCACTTGAAAACATATCATATCGCTGTCATTGTTCTCTTCATCGGCATGTCTAGTGCTACTTTAGCATACGATCCTAAAGGTGGAAGAAAGACCCTTGTGAACCAAGTGTCCAATTCGAACCCAACCGGGGCTTCTGGTTCAGCCCATGGTCCGAACTGGGACTATAGCTGGGGCTATGGGTCAAGCCCTGGGAGCGGTTGGGGTTACGGGTCAGGGTCAGGCCGGTCTGCTAATGGGTTTGGTAAGGGTTACGGGTTTGGTTATGGTTCTGGTAGTGGGAGTGGGAGTGGTTCAGGCTCTGGTTATGGCTATGGGTCTGGTAGTGGTGGAGCTCATGCCGGAGGGTCTGGTTATGGCTATGGGTCTAGTGGTGGTGGATCTCATGGAGGAGGCCATGGTGGTGGTGGAGGAAGTGTCCCCGCCGGCCACGGATAATTAAAGTGGTTGCAGCTTTTTGTCAAGCAATCTATGTATGGTTTAATATTATAATAACGTGATGCTTGAACAAGGTACGTGTTTACTGGTATGTGTTGTGGTATGTTTATATGTGATGTAGAGATGGTCAATAGATATATAGGTATGATCATCCTAAGTTATAGTTTCGAGTGTTTTTAATATATTATTGTAATCTCTCTTTTCAAACTTGGCAAATTGTGAATTTTATATATATATATTTTTTTGTAAAATAAAGATTAGAATTGCCCCAGCAATTATAGCTTGAGGTGTGCATTCAATAACCAAAGTTAGAAGGAGCCATGTATAGGTTGATATGTATGGTCCAATATCTATTCATGAGAATTCCACCACCTTTGTTTCCGTGTTATTCCATACTAACTGAAATGTTACTTTTGGTAGAAACAGATATGTTTCTCTTGCAATCACTACAAAGTGTTTATGGTATTGATGTTGATCCATGCATGTCAAGTTAATTCAAAAAAAAAAAAAAAGTATGTCTTGTCACTGTAGCAGGCATAAATTGAAATTTGAAAATTGGTCATTATGACCTAATATATCCCATGCAATGGTGTACGCTTTATGTGGTGTTGATGCGCTATACATGTAAGCCTAAAAGATGAAATTAAAGATGATGAAATTTTTTTTGGGTTTGAATTCTATGTCGTTCGGTTTTATATAAGTCTCATCTAAGAACAATCAAATTTTGTGTTTTTTTCTTGTTCTTGATTTCAAAGACAAAAGGATTAGATACCGGTAACACGAACCAAAATAATCAAAATCAAATGTTCGTTGTTGATGTTTCTGGTGCAAGAACTCGAAATCATCTGGAATAGAAGTCGTTTGTAAAAATTCAAATTAAATCGGAAACCCTTAGCCACTATCACAAACCTTCTAAACATATAAAATATTTTTATATTCCTTTAAAGAAAATAAATAAAATGGAGTAATTGTCATATTATTAAGGGTAAATTACGGCAATCGTCTTATGTTTATATATCAAAATGCACATTCAGTTTCTATTTTAAAAATATGTACTCAAATCATCCCTCATATGTTTAAAAGTTAGCACATTTGGTCACTGTTGTTAATGGTGTTAAGTTTTAGCTTTTAAACCATGAAATATTTACATTTATTTTTACAATTATAATTATTTAAAATTACAAACTAATTTCAAGACTAAAAACCGGTTTGAACCGGTCGGTCGAACCGGTTGAACCGGAAACCGGGGGAGGGAACGGTTCAATTTTCACCGGTTTTCAGAAAAAAAAAAACCCGATTGAACCGGTTAAACCAAATAAAAATACACGGACAAGAATTATTTTCATAATAAACTTTTGTGATTTTTTTCAAATCTATTTAATTTTCTCAAAATAAAAATATATGGTAATGTTATAAAGTTTTTTGATATGTTTGTATTCATCTAAAACTATATTTTATTTCGATATTATACTTTATTTTTCTTTTTAATGTATATGAATTAATATAAAACACTAAAACTTATTGTTATATGTTATTTTAATGCGTTTCGATTGATCTATAGCTTATTTTTATGTATATTTTTAATGTTTTAACTTGTAAACGTCAAATTTATGATTTATATATGTATTTATATATGAGTAGGAAAATAGGAAAAAAAATAAAAATTATAGAAACCGATTGACCTACTGGTCGAACAAGAAACTGATCACCATACCGGTTCAACTAAAAACCGGTTTTTAAAATATTGACTAATTTAAACCTTAACCCTTACCCCGCAGCCCAAAGCAACAAATCTTCTTACAAACCCAGCTCGTTTAATTTCTATTTCTTCATATTTGGTTTTCGAAGAAATTCAGATTTTACTCAATTTCCATTCCTAACAAACCATCCATTTCATTCATCTCTAGTAAGAAAATAAGAAATTTTCTAGTTTTGATTAATACCTACAAGAAACCAAATGATATCAAAATCCTAATAAAGTTCAATAGCCATAAATTGTTGGAAGAAAACACAGGTTCATAAAGAAAAACACGAGTGGGTTTTGATTTTCGAAAACCACCCAACTGAAACTAAAAACCCAGATTCCACCATTGAAGCTTAAAGTGAAACCAAGGAGTAAAAGTGGGTGCTATTTATGTGTAATCATACATAGAGAATTAAGAGGTTTGATTTTGAGAGAATCATCATATCCCTAACATGTGAATGTGTGCGAGTGTTAAGGTTGCACCATCAACTTCAATGGAAGCACCACTTCATAACCTTCACATACACACACACAAACACAACTTTCACACACATACACACAAACACTCACCCTACTTCATATCAAAGCAAATACAATTTGACCCGAATTTCATCTTCAAAATAGAAATTGAACCCCAATTTAAGAATGAATATGGATTAGAGTTTCGTTTATCGGAAATAGCCAAGGTTGTGGTAGTTGAGAAACGAGGAGAGGAGACAATTAACGGTAGGCCAAAAACGTAGGAGATGATATAGTAAATAGAGGTAGGTTTTAGTTTTTTTTTATTGTGTTTCTTTTAAGTTAAAAAACTAAAATATCCAAGGCACATGTGTCTCTCTACGGAAAAAGAAACAGCTAGTAGTATTAGGAACCAAATACATAACTTTTAAACAAAGGACGAAAAACAAACGGCTAATAGTATTAGGAATGGAACACACAACTTTTAAACAAGGGAACCTTCAAATTAATGTTTGAAAATATGAACTAAATATACGTTTTGGAATATGCACAAGTAACGATTAATGTAATTTATTCTATTATTTAAATAATTAATTTTTATAGCATGTATGGCAGCGTAGTTAAATATTAGCTAACAAGTGTTTTTTTATTTTTATTTATTTTTTTATTTTTTTAATTTTGCATTGAAAAGCTTATGTCTTTATTAAGGAATATATTCAAAATTTAATCAAAATAAATAATTTTTTAAAATTTAATATCAAAATTTTATATTGTTTACTATGCATAAATAACACATCATATTTTTTCATCAAGATAAATATATTCGTATAAGAAAAATAAAGATAAATCTTAAAAAATATATATATATATATGTCACGTAAAAATTAAAAATTAATAAAATGATATTTTTATACTTTAATTTGTTTAGATAAATAATAGAAAACCAAAGTATGTCCTCAACAAAGAGCTAAAGGATATTAATGAAGAAACTGCTATTCCTGAAGAAATCATCAAGTATAGGGCGCATGAGAAGGACGTGACAAAGGTGTCGTGTATCATGCTTGCCACTATGACTGTTGAACTCCAAAAGTCGTATGAGGACTACTATCCTTTAGAAATACACCAAGATTTGATGGAAAGATACCATCAAAGTGCTCGACTGGAAAGGTACAAAATCATTTCCTCCATGATAACAACAAAGATGAAGGATGGAGAGTCCATCACGTCCCATTTGCAAAAAGATGCAAAGGTTTGTGGACCGCTTGCTGAAGTTAAATGTCAACTTCGATGAAGAGTTGGCTATTGACATTATCCTACACTCTTTGCCTCCCTGTTATGATCAGTTCAGAATGAGTTATCATAGGAACAAGGAGGAAGTCACTCCAAGCAAGCTTCAATGCCTACTAAGAAATGTTGAGAGTAGTTTAAAAGGCAAGTCTATTATACCTACTCCTACCGCTGCTGCCCCTGTCTTGGAAATTGGACAAGGGAAAGGAAAGAAGATGAAGGCTCCTTCTAAGAACTACAAGGGAAAGTCCCATGATGGATCCTCTTCTAGTGGGACCAAAGGTGGTTCTGCTGCTCCTTCAAATCCAAAGGATGCAAAGTGCTTCCACTGTCACGATAAAGAGCATTGTTAACGAAGCTGACCTAAATACTTGCAGGACATCAAGGATGGGAAGATAAATCCCACCTTCGCAGGTATTTACACTATTAATCTAACAACTCATCACGTGCTATTTCTTGGGTCCTTGATACAGGATGTGGTTTTCACAGTTGTTCTGATTTGCAGGGTCTAAGAAGAAGTAGGGATGTAGAGCATGGCAAGATAAGCTTGATCATGGGGAATAGGAAAGCATCGCGTATCACCAAGATTGGATTTTATTCTTTATTGCTTAGTAGTGGGTTAAGGTTAGATTTAAATGATTGTTGCTACTCGTCGGAAATGGCAAAAAACATTATTTCTTGTCATGGTTTGATAGATAAGGTTTTAGATTTTTATTTAATAATGAAATTGGTTCTATAAATGCTTTCTATAATGTTACTTTTTATTTTGAAGCATTGCCTTGTAATGGAGTATATGAAATTGTGATGGTTATAGATAACTTAGGATATAATGTGTTTCATATTGATTTATCCAATGGTTTAGACACAGCATGCTTGTGGCATTGACATCTTGGACGTGTCAACAAGAAACACATAGCCCAACTCCAAAAGGATGGAGTGTTGGAGTTATTTGACATTAGGGCGGATGACACGTGTGAGTCTTGTTTGCTTGGAAAGATGAATAAGTCACCCTTCACTGGCACTTGTGAAATGGGTGAGGGATTATTGGATCTCATACACACCAATGTGTTGGCCCTTTAGATCCACCACAATGGATGAAAACTGATTCTATGTGACTTTTACCAATGATTATAGCAGATATGAGTATATCTGTAAGCTCGAACCTTATAATATGATGATCTTTGAAACTGAACCCTCAGCATCAGCTTGTAATCCAACGTCAGCATCAGCATCAGCGTCAGCATACAAGTTGTTTAGTATATATATTGTCTTTGATGTAACAGATTTAGTATTTATCTTGTTTCCATAGTTATCATATATTAGTTAGCTGGAACATCCCTGATTTGTAGGGATTGTTTATAATGGTTCTATATAGTCTTTTGTACGGGTTTGTGAAGAGGTTGTCTTTCACAAACCCTAATAGCCGCTTTGTGCGAACAATAATCTCTTTGTGAGATTATCATTCTTAGTGAAAGCTCTTTGTGATACTTCATTGTTCTGTTCTTATTAT